CATGCACTTGAAATATTCTCTACCAAATAACCCTAACAAATCCCCTTTTTCTTGTACCTGTCTTACATTAAATTATTTCATTTGACCTAGATTTGATAAATGAACTAAATCAGAGACGAAATTGTTGTATTGGCTTATTTGTATCATTTTCAAATATAAGTACATGATGTCTCACGTTCATTAAACAAGTAATACTAGTACTAGATTAACTACTTTGTGTATGTACTTATATTATACATCGATATGAGATTCCACGAGATCTAATTTCGTTTTAAGTAACAGGTTTTTGAACATTACAATTTATCTTTAACGACATTAGTAATCTAAGATAGCGTCAATATGGTGGTATTTGAGTGGGCCGGGCCCAAAAATTAAATTTGAACGAAAATTTTTTATAACAATAATAAGCAGATTGTTCGAGCCTCTATGCAGTCGGTCCAACCAATGTGATTTGATTCGACTCGATTTGACACGACACGACACGACTCAACATGACTGATAGCATTGGAGTTAATTGTGATTCCAGATCAATAAAGTATCAGGTAGAGCCATTGAATTAAGGAATCCATACGTGGAAAAAAACGAAAGAGTAAACTAAGGTGATGAGAGAGGAAGAAATAGTGAGTGTGGGTGGGTTGGAAACACGAGTGCAGAATGTCAGCGAAGGATTGTCTGTAGAGAAGGTTCCACTGGTGTACCTACAAAAAGTTTCATATTCTTTTACCTTTCTTCACTCACCAAAATTAAATTCAAATAAACATATTTTTATTTTATTTTTTACTTTCATCTTGTTTGTCAAGGATTGTTAAAACATCATTTTCTATGCGACTCACAATTTTTCCCTATTTTTTAACCATATATTCTTCAAACAAATTATTTTGTTCTTAAAAAATGCGTGCCCAAACAAGCTTTTAGTCTTTAAAATGAGATGATTAACTTAGCCTAACACAAGTTTTGAATTCAATGATCACCAATTTTAAAAAAGTAATTCCACATCCAATATCTTAATGAATCGGTTTATCATTTATCTTTTAGTGGGTAAAAAAAAAAAATCAGTTGAATGTACTTTAAACGATACTTCTTATCGGTCAATAGACTTTTCAAATTATTTTTCAGTAATCATCGAACTTTTAACGTTGTCTTCCATTTGTCACCTCGCATCTAGGGATGTCAATTCAGCTTGTTGGCTTGAGCGGTCCATGGCTCGAGCCAAGCCTCTTTTCGAATGAAGGCTCGAGCTTGAGCCCACCCATTCGACTAGCTCCTGTCACAGGCCTGGCTACCTGTCTCAGGCACCAAGGCAGGTTGTTCGCTGCCACATTTTTTGTTTGAAAAAAAGGAGCTGGTTAGGTTGACTTGGTAAGGCTTGAGCCTAAAACTCGAGCCAAGCCTCAGTTTTTTTATTGAGCTTTGGCTTGGCTCAAGTCAAGAAAGCTTGGCCCAAGCCATTTTTTGCCCGAGCACCCGAGCCATAATCGTTGGCTCGCTAGCCGACTCGTTTACAACCCTACTCGCATCGTTTGAAAAATTAACGATACTATTTTTACGTCATCAAAATCGTTATTTTTCAAATGTACGGTGATCTTGTATACAAAGGTTGAATGGAAAGGGGGCGGGGACACCGGCGTCAAAGGAGGGGTGCCTTGAAGTTGCAATGGGGGACAATATTCTTGGGGTTGCTAACCTTTTTCTTTAATCTTTAATGATATTTTTTGGAGACCTAAATTAAAAGGGCTCTTTGATATTGAAGAGTCACCCTCCAGTCCTGGCCTTGTGTCTCCATTAAACTATATATACTAATGATTTGAGAAGACCAGTCCGCGTGCAACCACATTCTCATTTTTCTTCTTTCATCATCAGATCCTACGTCTCTCTCTTTTTATTCTCTCCATAAAATTGTTTCATTCATATACAACTTTAACGATTGAAATAGGAGCCAGGTGGACCTCTATTTTCTTGCACGATTATAATTTAGTTCACGTTGAATCATTTCGTCTAATACAAATTATATAGCACTTTAGAATTGATTATGCCATTGTTTGAGCACCATTTTTTTTTTATTAATAGATTTTGAAATAATAATTTTTTGAAAAATGTGTAATGAAAAAGTAAGGAAAAATATTGGATTTACGTATAAAATTATTTTATTAGAAGAATATATGATTGAAAATGAGTTTTGAAAAAATATGGCTCAGGGCTAAGGATTTAGGAGCCCAGGACGGCCCCATCCCATTAAAAAAATTTATATATAAATTTTTTTATTATATGAAAAAAAAATTATGTGAATTTTGTTTTCTAACATATTAGCATGGAGTCTTGGACTCACAAATTTGTCTAAGTTTGGCACGGCACATTGTTTCACAATTCGCTTGACGCAAGATTTTAACTAGAATATTTAACTCGATATATTAATTTTTACTTATCAATAACCTAAACTCTCAAATATTAGCGTGATATACATTTAGGTTGAGAGAGACCAATCGAACATTTGAGCATGCCTTCGTGACATAACAACATGGACTAATGGTTTCTTTAATATTAGTTGGACATGTTCCATTTTCGACAATACATGGATATATGCTATACAGTGCTTTTCTATCGTCCAAAGCACAAAAAATCAATTCTTAATTTGTTATTCTACATTTTGATTGTCAACCAGAGTAGTCCAATTTGATTCTCATTATCTCTTATAAAATTTAATTTATTGTCAACCAGAGTAGTCCAATTTTTTGTCAACCAGAGTAGTCCAAATTTAATTAGAGTTGAAAAAAATTTGTTATATGGGTGTTGGGATTGTTCCAAACATGCATGGCAGTTAGCCGATAATAAGTTTTCCTTTTGGGGAGACAAATAATTTTCTTACCATGCATGAAATTCAAGTTGTCTCTGAGAATTTCTCTGTATTCTGAATTTCTCCGTCAATCACTTGCTCCTAACTTGTGACACCGCGAAGTTACGCTTTTATCCGTCTCCATTTCGTACATGGGTCGAGGGCACAACATGGACCCGCTGTTCCAAAAGGGAAAGAAAACCCTTCCCTCACTCACCTTTTTTCACTCAAATTTCGCCACCCGTGGGGGACACAGTCTTTTCGCTGTCCAAACTAACTACAAGCATTATGGTCACAAATATACAAAAGTAGACTACTTTTTTACAGTTCTTAACCATTGTTTTACAGATTAATTTTCACTGTCTGAACTTACCTCCCTTGTTCCCAACAAAAAAAGGATGCAAGTTGTAGGATACAAGAGGTTGTGGAGAATCATTTGATAGGATATATATCCATAATCCATTCAAAAGTAGTCATCCACCCAATGACGGACTACTTCACCACTTAAATAAATATTGCAAGATGTCACATTCATAATCCCAATATAATTTAGGGAATATCGTAGGCACGGTATCAAACCTTTCACTTTTATGCAGAATTTTCCCAAACCTTTCATTTGTACCCACAGGGGTACCAAATCTTTAAAAAAATCACAACTCCAGTCCAAATTGACAGAAATCGTTACTTTCTCTGTTAGTTGACCAAATATCAAAAGTTTGCCAATGTTGATTAATTTCAAAGGGCAAAAGGATAATTTTATATTTATTTCTATATAAAATAACTAAATCAAAAACCTAAAAAAAAATCCAATTATATTTCCCACCCCACCCAACCCAACCCAACCCAACCCAACCCAACCCAACCCAGCCCAAAAATAAAACTCTCAAAATGTCAGCACCACCGCTCCGATCATAACTCCAGCGCCACCACTCCAATCTCTGCCCCCATCTCCTCCCTCAAGAGCCACGCTACTACACTCTTCAAACTATGAAAAGATTAATTCGAAATAAGCTTTTTGATTCACTATTACTAACCTTGGTTGTTATGAACAGGTCCTCCCTCTTCACAAGTCTTGTCCGAAATGCTTCAGCAAGTACATCCCCCACTTCTGCTTCATTCTTATAATTCGTTGCAAACCAATAAACACAATGAACCATGCTTGGCTACTAGAAGGAGGTTCACAAGGGGGTGGGGTGGTTGGTTCACAGATACTCACAAATGCAAAGGGGTGGGGGTTTTTTTTTTCCATTTTTTTATTACAGTGGACCCCACCCTTGTGTGTATTTGTAAAACTTCTGTGAAACATTATTCTGTACATTTGGCTTTACTCAAACGCAATAGCACAAGCAAGAAAAAGGCACAATCTTAATGTAAACAGACGTTGATAGTGTGGAATGAAAGAATACTCGTGCAATCAAAATGACGATAACCAATCTTAAAAGCGCTGAAGCAAAGATATTTGATGTCTTTGCTCTCCATTTGTCAAACGCCTAGTCCGAGTACAGGCATTTTGAAGACGCTGTTTTGTGCAATCGCCATTTTTCTTAACCTTAAAAATCACCGCACTTCAATTCTCATGTATATTTCTGCACTTCAAGTGCTCTATCCCAACAGAGATTGGAGAGGTGGCGCCGAAGTTGTGATTGAAGTGATGGTGCCGACTTTTTAGGGGTTTTAGTTTTGGATTGGATTGGATTGGATGGGGTGGATAATTGGGTTTTTTTTTTTTTTAATTATTTTATTTTAATTTTTTATATGGAAAAAATGAAAAATTACTATTTTGCCTTTTAAAAATTAATCAACATTGGTCAGACTTTTGATATTTGGTCAACTAATTGAGAAATTAACAATTTTTGTCAATTTGGACTGAAGCTACGATTTTTTTAAAGGTTTAGTACATCTGGTGGCATAAATGAATTGGGCAAAATCTACATAAAGGTGTGGGGTTTGGTACCGTGGCTGCAATTTTCCCTATAATTTACTATTTCAAGTTTGAACCTCCTTTATTCCCATCTTCAAAATTTTCTGATGGTATATAGTTAGAGCAGTCTTTATCAAGTCGAGTAACATGAACGAACATATCGAAAATACAGGAAGCAAACTAATGCAACCTCGCCTATAGTTAACGCGTTATTTTCAAACAAAAGCTCTACAAGTACGATTTTGGTCACTACTTCCCTTTGAGTTTAGAGTAAGCGTATAAGCCGGATCCCAAGAAACCAAGAGATTGACCCGCAATGTTTAACTGAAATAGAATCAACATCATTATCATAAAAAATCAAATGTTGGGAATTCTTTATGTTGTGGATGAGAAAAGTAGACATAAGGAAAAAAAAAAAAAAAGTTAAAATTGATGTTGATGCTCACCAAATCAAAAGGAAGTCCACCAAATAGTAGCCAGCCAAAACCAATTGTAAACAGGTCCTACATGAAAAATTATCTTGTATCATCATATGAAAGGTTTTACAAATGGAAAAGCAATTTCGATTTTCGCCAAAATAAACCTTCTTTCGTTCGGGTCAACTTCGTAGATTGATGAATAAATTCCCAAAAGTACTTTCTCGTCATACCTTTAGGTTTCCGCAGATCGATTGAGTGAGTGCCGAATTAAGAGTTGTATTCAAAAACACTGTGTAATTCAATAAGAATGCCATAACACATGATAGAAGCATAACAACCTGCAAAGAACCAAAAAAGAAACACTTCATAATATTACCAAATATTACCACCTGCCGTTCATTCCACCGATTATCGAGTTTCATAGGAACCTTAAAAAACGAAATGTAACAATTTGGTACTCTTCAATAAATTATAACTAATAACAAGGAATAACCGGAAAAACTGAGTGCTTTGCAACAAAAATAAACCACATGGGAACTTCAATCAAGGCTGCACTCGCCATAAGAAAATGATTTTGCCTTCCTTCATTGTTCGAGTTTATTTACGGTAGGAAGAATTGAACTACCTTCTCGTCATTTGAGGTTAAACATAGTACACCAAAACTTGTACTAATAAAATTAGTAATGGAATAAATGTCATATATTTGTATATCTATGTTCATGTGTGTCTTGTTGGTTTGCAAAAATTTACGAAGAAATGCTGAAAAATATCACCAATGTAAACCAAAAAACAACATATACCAAAATAGTGATAAGATTTATTTCCCATTGCTCATGTTTATATGAAAAGAAAACAAGAGCTTGCGTTAAGTACCCCAAGTGAACCGTCCGAGAATGAGTTCTCCGTGGAAGGCCTGAGACTTCACCGAAGAACTCTCCAGGCTCACTTGTAAAACCAGTATGTACACGAGAAATCTAATTTGATATATAATTACTAAAACACGTTTACCTCTCAATAGCCAAGTAAGGAAACATGGATAGAGTTATTACTCAAAGTAATCTAAAACTATTATAAATATGGTTTACCAATATTGGAATCTTAAACCTGCAAGATTCAATATAGCTCCTTAGATCATTGCACTATGTCCACAAATGTGTGTGTTAGAAAGAGATGAACTCAACCAACCTACACAACTAGAAATATATATTTCGTTCTGAAAGGCCAACCTGGAAACCATGCGAGTACAAGTACGGGAAATTCATGGTCGTTTCTAGGTCACCTCTGAAAGATGCCCATATTAGCAAGATTGGTCCGCAAATTATTCCTACAGATACCGAGATGCATATAATTAGTAGACTAGATTTTCCAAAAGAAGAAGCTCGAAACAAAAACGTGATTTGGGAAGTTTTGGTCTTACCATTGCACCACATAAGACCAAAGCTATTAAGGCCACTGGATTTTCCTAGATAGAGATTGGAACATCATGAGACGTTTAAAAAAATCGACTTGACTCTACAACTGAGACAAGGTAAAACTAAAGGAAGAAGAAATATTACCAATCCGAGATATGCAAGAGAGATATATTGCAGTAGTGATGTTTGAAACGATTACAACAGAATATCCGTAAAAGTCAAATGACAAGTCCCGAGCCCCGGCTACAAATGCACCCAATATGATCGTTCCTACACTGATGGACCCCGTGTAAGAATTTTGCCAGTAAAAACGAACACTATATCCATGAAATGACAACATATGTAATGCAAAATCATATAATTGACTTGCTTCTGAAAAAATTAAAATCTATAATGACATATGATCGTAGTATCAAGATTTTGGGTTTTATCTTAAAATGTCAACTTTATTAAGAAAAGTAACACAAGTCTATATATGTTAGCCTATGTTTTTATCTGTATTCGATGTGTGATCTATCCCTTCACATGTCCTTGCAAGATGGTGCCTCGTTTGAACAAATCAATTTTGAAATTCGCGTGCTTAATTTGTTGAGTCTTAATCGAATCGAATTGTTTGTTAGAGGTTAATGGACTCTGATACCATATTAAAACTCAAGCTTCATTTTAAAAGCTCAATTTTATTAAGAGTAGTTGCTCAAGTCCTTATATGTTGATCTATGTTTTCATATTTATTCAATGTGGGATTTATTCCTTAACACGTAGTCATAGGTCTAATGATAAGGAATGAAATTGAACTAACAAAACTAAGGATCGTAAGTGACAGCAAAAGAAATTCTTACCTACAAACAACATATGGAGAATGTTTCTGTCCCAACAAAATATACTCCATCATCATTGTAAAAGCAATGGTTGTCCGTCTAAGGGCTGTGTACATAGGGACATTGATCCCACGTATAGATTCCATTGAGATAACCTGTGAAAAGAAAACAAACAGATAATATCGAGAAGGAAAAGGCAAGACACCCAAAAGGAGCCAGCAAAGCAAGATGTACCTACCATGTAAAGCAAATATGAAATTGTCAAAGGAAGGGTATGAATTATAGACTTCAGCGGAACAAGTTTCGCCGGGTGATTGGTGAAGCCAAGTGTTTGATCGGATGTAAAAGAAATAATCTTCCGACATCTCAATGCGTAGAGAAACAAACATGAAAAAAACATCTACAGTGGCAGAAGATCCTGATTAGTGAAATCGAAAACTTCCACTGAAATTATTTTAGTAAAATTTCACTCATAAACTATTAGTCTATTAGTAGCTATAATTGAATTCCTGGAAAAGCATGTGTGCTTCGAGGATTCCACATGAAACCCAGTCATGAAGATATAAGATCTAAATAAACTGTATATCAAAATTATATGGCAATAAGTCCTAAATCATCGAGATCCGGAAATGAACCTAAGCATTTATCTTCTCCTACCCTACATGGCTACAAAAGGGTACATATTTGAATCAATAAAAAACTAAACTACTGGTACAAATCCTTTTGTATATTGTAGGATATACAAAAGTTAAGATTTTGTTTGACCCAATCTTTTTTATACCATAGGATATTGAGGTTCATGTGGAACTTTCAATCACGAATTCATGTAGGATAACAATAAACAATAAAAAGGGAGGGCCATGCATCAATATAAAATCGTGAAAGAAGAGTCTTGACTTAAAGGACGAGATCAGATCACCATGAAGAGAGTGAACTAAGAAGGAATATCATTTGGAGACTAAATAAGATGTTGAGTGTTTGTTTATGTCTCTCTGTGTTGGTATGAGTTTGTGTTATGACGTGTGAGTTTGTTCGAAGGAGTGCAAGAAAGAGATGTCCCGTATAAGATATGGACAAGTTTTTGATGCTCAAAAATGAATGAAACTAATGAAGAACAAAATCATCGCAGAGATGGTGCTCATATAGATCTTTAAGTGCATATTATTCTAGACCTCATATTTATTTTTATTATGCAGCACCAGCATTTGCTGCATTTCATTTTCAGAAATCGAAACTTTGAAGTCACCATGAGAATAAAATTTGAGGTTCTATTGTAAACATTAACTCGTTTCACTTTCATTGCCGAAATTCTTCCCATTTTCCATTAAATTTTCTTAATGCAGTCTATCTGGTATTTGCATGCTGTATCAGGAAAAGCATGCATATATTGTAACTATCAGCCTATTCTCTGTGGGATATACATATGCACGAGAGTTACCTGAAAAAGTGTAATGACGTTTGCACACGGAAAATTATACGAAGAAAGTGCTGCTTTGTTGAATATTACCAAAAGAACTGCAGAATAAATTACAAAAGAGCAAAGTTTTAACGGCGGATGACAATAGCATATGATAACTGTCAAAAATTATGACGAACATGATAGCATAAGCACGATGAATGACAGTATCAAATTAATTTCTAGCATGTTCAAAATCGTGGAATGGTAATTTGAATGTTAAGTAGATCCAATACATGATAAATCAACTAAAATCTATGGTAAACTTGACCTTACAACCAAAAAGAAGTTAATTGAGACAATTTAAAGAAAAATTGATCGTTGCATAACACAAAGAGAAGGTTCGCCAGATAAAACATGCATAAGATTGAATGAAAAGTATATAGGTAGAGAAACGAGGCCTCAAGTATGAATGCCATTGACATTCAGTTCAAATATGATTAAAAAAAAAAAAGACAGAGAGCTAAGTACAAATACATTCCTATCTTCTCAAAAATTACAAAAACCTCCACGAAGTCTTTTTTTTTTTGGCAGAAAATTCTCCCAATCAGCCAATCACAAATATTTATTTGTCAATTTCTCATTTTATCTTTATTATTACTATTAAAGAATCTTAAAATTGTCTTTCTTTCTCTTTTTTCTCATTCTTAAAACCCTTTTTCATATTTTAAATTTATATGTGAGCATTGCTTTTATCTAAAATAATAATCATTGTGAATTTGCGTAATTTTTATTAAGCTTCGGCTCTGATATTTTAAAACCCATTTTTCTCCAAATTATGTAATATAATTGAAAAGGCAAGGAGTGTCAATATAAACATCCGAGAGGACTGGTTTTGCACCTATTTTGAAAGGTCAGCACCCACTTCTACATTCTCAATAGATTAGGGACCAACCATGCAATTTTGAATAATTTTTAATAGCGAAATTGTTAGTGATACTGATAATCATAAAAGTAATAAATAACCTAACAATAAGACAAATATTATTTGGAAGAAAAGTGCTGTATTGCTGTCATCCTGTTACAAAAGTGAGAAATAAATAAATAAATATTACTTCAATTAACACCACTAGCTTTCAGGAATTCTAACACACCCACATATCACATACACAAAAACTTATTAACACAAATTTAACACAGATTTAAGTTGGAAAAGAACACAGAGGACATGTCATAAACTGGTAATTCTGGAGAAGAAAAGAAAGTGGTAACTAACCAGCACAAGCCATGTAAGATATGGCAGCACAGGCACCTTTCTTTGTCATGGTGGGGCTTTTCCTGCCACCTTTGCCAGCGGCGGTGGAATTAGAAACCGGAAGCGGCGGATTCTTGGAGGATTCTTCCATGGAAACCATGGGGAAAGAGAGTGTGAAAAGGTGGAGTGGTGATTGAGAAGTTTTTGAACTTGGAAACTGGATAGAAAAAAGCTGAAAATGTAACATTTTTATGAGACAGGAAGTGCTTGTAAAGTGAGGGTCCACTTGGGATATTTTATTTTGTCCAAATTATTAGCACGTTTGGATTCATGTTGTTTGGTCAGAATTCCATTTTATGTGGTTGAATTTTTTGAACAAGGGAAATAAATTTGCATACTTATTTTAGAAAACCCACTATTCTGAAAATTTGGATTCATCTTGTTTGGTCAACAGGAGAATTTAATTTTAGGTGAGAGTTTACAAACCAGGTATTAACTTTGATAATTGTAAAAATTAAATGTTAAGTTTCAAACTTGCAAAAATCATGTGTTTATTAATTAATTAAATATTTAATTGTAATATAATATAATTAACCAATCTCACCTCCACCACCCCTACTGCTCCAGCGACTACTCCGACAACTGTTCCCCGACTGCGCTTAATTCCGACAACTATTTCGACGATCGTTCTTTCGACGCTTAATTCCGACGACTGCTCCGATTCCAACAATTATTAAGGTCACAATTATATGCAATTTGGTCGCATATATCTAATTAATTAGTTAAAAATTAATTTTCGATCACAGTTTATTTGCAGGTCACAGAATTCCAAATTAGTTGGTTACAAATTTTTTAATGGTCACATAAAAAAAAAATTTGTAGGTCACAATTAATTCGTCGGTCACAGATTTTTAAATTAGTTGGTCACAGATTCTTTTACGATCACAGATTATATAAGTTTTAGGTCACAGATAACAAAATGGTTGGTCACAAATTAACCAACACCCCACTTTCACCTCCGATCATGATCCAACACCTTAACCGTACACAACACCGTGCCCAAGCCAACCATCGTCTCCATCACCATCAGATCCAACATACCCTGTCAGATTCGCCACCACCACACCACACCACAACCCTACCACCAACAAAGCCACCACCACTAAATCAACACCACTGCCAACCACCATCATAAAATCACTACCACTGACAACAAAGAAGTTAAAAACATTTTGGAGAGAGAAATGAGGGCAACGAAACGAAGGCGAACCAAATAATTGTTCACATACACCCAAACTTAAATCTCCCTATCTCACTCCACCACCAATACTTGGTCACAAATCGACCAAATAGTTGGTCACAGACACTCTTCGTGCCATCCCATTGTCGCCATCGCCTCCACTGCTGCCAACAAAAATGACAACCACCACATTAGGCCCACTACCATCGCCACCACAACACCACCGCCACCACATACACTACATAAAATCGCAACATGCCACCACCAAGACCAACACCACATAGCGAGCATCGCCAACATCAACACCACTACAGCCATCACCAACAATTACAAACACAACCAAATCAAGCCAGAGATAAAACGGCCACCAATACCAACAATCCAACACCAAAATGTCTCCACCTTACACCACCACCACACCTTCTCTTCTGCACCCCCGAACTGTAGCGTCACCCACCTGTTCATCGTCAGAGCTCTGCTTCGCCGTGGTCTATTTCGCAGTGTCATTTCACCACCCAACCCGCAGTGATTCGCGAAGGGAAAAGTTCGGCAGCGTGGGTGCTCTAGGAAGTAGTCTCAGGTAGTGGACGGTCTGTCTCCAGCGGTAAGCGCGAGAGAGGAAAAGAATGGGGAAGAGGAGGGGAGGCACAAGAGATATGAGAAGGGAGTAGAGAGAGAAATTAGGTTATCAATTAGGGTTTTAATATAATACTTGATTTTTGAATAAATAAAGTTTAAACCTGATTTTTAAAAACCAATCTTTAAACACCCGAATTTATGTAATTACCACTTAATTTTATGTACTTGAATTTTTGAACAAATGAAATTTGAACATGTTGGGTTTTGTGACCCAAATCCGGTCCAAATTGGGTCTAGGGCTTCTCGTTGTGGAGTATTGGGCTTGAAGATGATAAAATAGGGTCCAAGAAAGAAAAAAATGTGGATTGACGGCGCTGGATGAACGCCGTTTATAGCTCGAGCGATAGGAGCACAATTGGAATAGACAAGTCGTCAACCACTTCTCGCTCGACCGACAGGCTGCCGATTTTTTCCTTCTTTTTCGGTTTTATGCGATTTTTAACCTAATTCCCATATTTTAGGTCAATTCTAGGGTTTGGGCATGTCTCCTATAAATAATAGACTATTCATTCAGTTTAGATAGTAAAAAATGCAGAAGTTGTATTTTCTCTCCAATAGTTGTTATTAATAAGATATTCAGTTTCTCTGCCAATTTCATCTTCTAATTTATTTTCTTTTAAATCTTATTCTTGTTTATTAGTTTGTACGATCTATACTTCATACTGCCCCATATCGCCTCCTCGAATTCCTAACAAGTGGTATCAGAGCCAAAGTTCAGTAGTTCCGCATAGCAAAGATTTGATTGTTTGAGGTTTTTTGTTATCGATGGCTACCATGAAGTATGATATTTCGCTGTTGGATCGCAGTACAAGATTTTTATTGTAGCAAGTGAAGATGAGAGCTATATTGGCGCAAATGAATTTGGATGATACTTTGTTGGGATTTGATAGAATGCCCACAACTTGGACAATAGAAGGATAGGCCCATTGAAAATAGGTACAAGGATGCTGATCTGAATGTGCATGCATTTAGAGTTGTTGAAGGTGACGAGTCTAGCAGAGGCCTTCAGTTAAAGCATTTAGTGGTGATTGTGCTATAGGTAGGGCTGGGCAAAAACCCGCCCAACCTGCCCAAACCGAACCGACCAGTTTAGGTTGGTTTTTTTCATTTTTTTGGTTGGGTTCGGGTTTGGGGGGTTGAAGGCGGGTCGGGTTGCGAGTTGAACCAAAAAACTAGCCCAAACTTTCAGTTTCTCTGCCAATTTCATCTCCTGATTTATTTTCTTTTAAATCTTATTCTTGTTTATTAGTTTGTACGATCTATACTTCATACTACGCCATATCGCCTCCTCGAATTCCTAACAAATGGTATCAGAGCCAAAGTTCAGTAGTTCCGCATAGCAAAGATTTGATTGTTTGAGGTTTTTTGTTATCGATGGCTACCATGAAGTATGATATTTCGCTATTGGATCGCAGTACAAGATTTTTATTGTAGCAAGTGAAGATGAGAGCTATATTGGCGCAGATGAATTTGGATGTTGCTTTGTTGGGATTTGATAGAATGCCCACAACTTGGACAATAGAGGAGAAGCAATGAAAGGATCGCAATGTACTTTTGCAGATTCATCTTCATCTATCTAACAATATTCTTCAGGACGTCTTGAAGGAGAAGACAACAGCTGCATTGTGGTTGAAACTGGACAATTGTACATGACCAAAAGCCTAACCAACAAATTGCATCTAAAGTAGAGGCTTTATTCTCATCGCATGCCAGAAGGCCGATCACTGGAAGATCATCCATTTGTGTTTAAGAAGATCGTCACTGATCTAGAGACGTTAGAGGTAAAATATGATGAATATCACTTGGCCTTAATCCTGTTGTGCTCGTTGCCGGTTCGTTTTCATCGTTAAGGGACACTATTCTGCACAATCGTGACACACTCACCATTGAAGACGTGTATGATGCCTTATTCTCAAATGAGAAGATGAAGCATATGGTTGGAGCTGGTTCTAGAGATGAAGAAGCTCTTGTGGTTTATGGTGATCGGCGAAGGGGCAAGTCAAGGGTAGATTTCAGTAATAGGGTTTGATTTTACTGCAAGAAGAAATGACACATCAAGAGGGATTGCGAGAAATTGCAGGGTAAGGATAATTCAACTGTAAACCGTGGGAAGCAATCAAAGACTTCAGGTGAAGTTGACATAGCAGGGAACTTTGTAAGTAGGGGAGATCTTTTGACGATTTCTGACGTGGAATCCAAGCCTGACGAAGAATGGATTTTGGATACAGCTTGTGCGTTTCATATGAGTCTCAATCGGGATTTGTTTGAATCATATGAAATGGTGATACTAGGATTCGTTGTCATGGGAAACAACAAATCTTATCAGGTAGCTGGTATTGGGAGAGTCAGATTGAAGTTGGTGGATGGACAAATCAAAACACTTGGCCAGGTTTGACATGTTCTAGACTCGAAGAAGAATATCATCTCGCTAGTACCCTGAATTCGAGAGTGTAGACGTTCTCTGGAGCATATGGAGTCTTAAAGGTCCGAAAAGGTAGCTATGTTATATTGAAAGGACGGAGAAAGTCCCAATTATACATCTTGCAAGGTTGGGCAGAATCAGTGAAGAGATATCAGTAAAGGTTTGGTACCGTGATGGATATACATTTTGGTACATTACCATTGGGAGTTGGCTTTGGGTCTACTTTTGGAGAATACTATTCTGTCGAGTTTGAGGGATATGGGTAATTCTATTTTGTCACCACAGTCTGTGGTTCCATTGTATTCAACAGCTAGGGATAGGCCCATTGAAAATAGGTACAAGGATGCTGATCTGAATGTGCATGCATTTAGAGTTGTTGAAGGTGACGAGTCTAGCAGAGGCCTTCAGTTAAAGCATTTAGTGGTGACTCTGCTACAGGTAGGGCTGGGCAAAAACCCGCCCAACCCGCTCAACCTGCCCAAACCGAACCGACCGGTTTAGGTTGGTTTTTTTCATTTTTTTGGTTGGGTTCGGGTTTGGGGGGTTGAAGGCGGGTCAGGTTGCGGGTTGAACCAAAAAACTAGCCCAAACCCAACCCGACCCGACACGCATATTTAAAAAAAACCTCAGATTTCATAACCAAACAAAACATCAAAACCTAGACTTTTCACTCCATTCTTTCATTTTCTCTCTGTTAGTCACTCCCGGCATTTTTTCCTCTCAAATCGCCGATTTTAGGGCTCATAGAGATAGTGCAAGAGGGGGATTCCAGATCTCATTTCAATTTCTGGTTTATAGGGCTCAACATGTGAGTTTCCTTCTCGATTTATGTCATTTTGTTATCATAATTTTAATATAATCTACTGCTTCTTATGTGCTTCATCAGTTTACATCATGTGTGCAAGTATACATATAATCTGCTCCTCCAAATTGTACGCTCCTTGTCTTCAGCTCCCTGTTCACCTATCCCAACCCAAACGCCTTGGTTAGTGATTTATTTTTGTTTCCGTGTATCCAAATTTGGATTTTAATTAATAGGTTTTGCTGATTGGGATTTGCTAGTGATTTGTTTAAGTTTTCTTATAGCGAAGTCTGAATTTTAATAAATGGGTTTGGCTCATTGGGATTTGCTAGTGATTTATTTATGCTTTATAAATGTTAATAGTTTCATCTTATCTATAATCATGTGCTTAGAATTTTGTTAAAGCAGCTGCTAGTTTCTATTGTTATTGTTCTTGTAGTTATGGTTGTGATTTTGTTCATTAATTGTCTCTATTTGGTTATGAACTGTGTTAAGGGGTTCTTTGTATATTAAGAAACTAATATATTCAAAGATTATGCACTGGGACTCTGCTAGTACTTTTCAGCTGGAATTTGGAGTTATGATAGCATCATTTAGTGCTTTGTTTATTTTGGGTGGGACTGGGAGTACATATCAATGGCATATAGGTGGATGCCTTGAGGTTCCGATTGATATATCTGAGAATTCTTAAAATGGTTAAAAATTAGAATAAGATGGGAGTACAGACAGTTGACATATTGAAAACTGAAATTCCCCTGGATGAGGAATCAGTTGTTATACCTGAAGATGCTAAGGCTGATTTAGTTCTTGTAGACATCATCAATGGATTCTGCACTGTTGGAGCTGGCAATCTTGTCTGTTGAATTCATGAATATAAATGTAAACAGAGAGTAAAGTCTTATGTTTTTCCCTTTGTGTAAATCTGCCTGCAGCTCTAAGGTGGATACTCAATGCCTTAATTGTTTTGATGGAATATGGAAACGAAGAGGAAGAAAACTAAACTTTTTCATATTTATTAGGAAAACTGCACTACAGTCAAGATAATACAACAAACCGACCAACCCAACTCAACCCCACCGACACATAATTGGGTTGGGTTGGGTTGGATTTGGAACAAACCGACAATGTTATGTTGGGTTGGGTTGGGTTGGGTTGGGTTTGGGTTGAGGCAAAAACCGACCCAACCCAACCCACTCTCACCCCTAGCTGCAGGTTGTTCTTCGACCCTGTTTGGTAAATTTTGTTATGAATTTTGGAAACCCGGGAGTTTGGTTCATTAGTATCTGTGTTTGGATATGGTGGAAGAGGAAAAGTGTTTTCAAGTGTTAGAGAGGTTTGGTTCAGGTTGAAGAGTTTAGTATGTTTTCGCTGCAGTCAGACTTTTTTTTCAGGTGAAGAAATTTTGTTGCTTCATTCGTTGTACCAGAATTTGCATCAAAGTGGCGATTGTTGGGTTTTGTGACCCAAATCCTGTCCAAATTGGGTCAATGGCTTCGCGTTGTAGAGTATTGGGTTTGAATATGACAAAATAGGGTTCAAGAAGGAAAAAAGGTGGATTGACGGCGCTAGTCGGACGCCCGCCTATAGCTCGAACGATATGAACAAAATTAAAACAAGGAGTTTGTCACCCGTTTGTCGCTCGAGCAATGAACCGCGAATTTTTTCCTTCTTTTTCGATTCTTACGCGATTTTTAACCTAATTTCCATATTTTAGGTTAATTCTACTGTTTGGATATGTCTCCTATGAATAGTAGACTCTTCATTCAGTTTAAATAGTAGAAAAGGCACAAGTTTTATTTTCTCTCAATTGGTTGTTATTAATAAGATATTCGGTTCCTCTGCCAATTTCACCTTCTAATTTATTTTCCTTTAAATTTTGTTCTTATTTATTAGTTTGTGCGATCTATACTTCATATCACTCCATATCGCCTCCTCGAATTCCTAACAGAACCCTCGTTCAGTATTCCAGCAATGGAGTTACGAATGCCAAGTTTTGGATTCATGTTCTTGGGTTGAGGGAATTCCATTTTATTTTATTGATTTTTTGAACAAGTGACATTTGAACATGTGTACTTGGCCTGACCTAGACTTTGTAGTTAGTACACCAAATAGGTTTACGTTTAATTGGAGTCCTAATTCTTGAGAGCCTTTGAAGTGGTTACTTTGATCATCTCTAACGAGGGACCAAATTTGGTGTAAGTGCTTTTCAATGAGGGATCAAATATAGTGTAAAATTTGATGTAATGTTCACCAAATTTGAGAATTTTCAACAACTCCCATGTTGCCTTCCCTTCTCCTTTACAACGAATGTTTATTTCATATATATCCCATTTATATTTTAGAATTAATATAGTTCAATTGATTTATAATTGTTTTAATGTGATGGTTATTTTTATTCAATACCTATTTTTAAATTATAATTGAGTAATGAGTAATAAGAATAATGTTATATGTACATCACACATGACAAAATAATTGACATCCCTCCAATATGGGGGAAATCTAGCCATTAGAATACAGTGGGTCATTGTTACTTGAAGCCCATTAAATTTATCAATAGTACTGCGAAGGGACTAACATTAAATATTCAACATTCATAATTAGTGGATACGTTAGTTCCCTACGTTCTATTTTTCACTCACACCTTTCCTGATATAGAGATAAAATTCTTTAAAAAAATAAGGATACATATCTTTTAAAAATTAGTATTTTCCAACATGATTATTTTATTACCCAATTATGCTACTTATAAATTATTATATAAACTTTGGATGACATTTAAATATGTGACAAAATCGAGATTATTGATTGTTTTAAGCGTTGCAGAAATCAATGGTAAAATTGTATGTCATATAGTACAATGTTTTCTAGAATATATATCTAGCATGATTGTTTATTACCCTACAACTACACGCCCATAAATGTATCAACATGATTATACATGAGTATGACATGGTCATTGATGATAATATGTAAGAAAATAGCAATTTAACATACACATAATATTTATATATCTATAATATATTAAATATCACATCAAGTGAGAATCATTTTTCGGACGATTTTAACCCTACTATAATTCAATTATTTCAATAATACGTTACTTTTTTTTCAATATGTAATAAATACTACAAATACTTGTCATATATGAATTTCGTGTTATTAGTTATCAATTAATTAATATTCACATTAATCTAAATTCAATAAATCTTGACTTAATGAATTTTGATCTACACGAATTTAAAGTTATTATATATGAATTCATTTCTATTCATGTATCTAAAAATTTTAATGTGTTTAAATTCATGTATTAGTAATTAATTTTTATATACCAAATATAGTATAAAAAAGTTGTTCATTTATAATATTTCATCATCACAAAAAAATTGAATCATAGAGTTGAGTTTTGAGAGTACAATTTTCTTCTCTTAAATGTATATTCTAAATTTTATTTGTTTAATTCGTTTGAAACTCATCAAATCTTCTAAACAAATTGGTATCATATATTAATTTAACAACACTTATAAAATATTTTAGAATAACGTGCAATGCACGTTCAACTCTGAACTCTGACTAGCATATATAAAAAGCAACTAAGAAAGTTTACTTTAGAAAATTTATATATAGTGAATTTATATTATTGGTATGTGGTATTAGAATATAGGCATTAGAAAATTTATATATAGTGAATTTATATATAAAAAAATGAACTCATTATTAGAAAATGGAATGTGGTATTAGAATATAGGCATGTCGATCACTTAGGTGGTGTTTTCTTCGTGTTTCTGTTTTGTGTTTTGAATTTATTTTGAGTTTTGTGTTTTGAGTGTCCATTTTGAGATTGTTGAAAATGAGTTCTTTTTGTCATTTTGAAAAATTGTTTTCCAAAATTAAAAACACCAAAACACGTTCTCTCATCCCATCTCTCTCTCTCTCCCCTCCCCTCTTTCTCTCCTATCTCTTCCCACCGCCGGGCTCCATTTCGCCGACCAGAAGGAGTAGGGGTGCGATGCTTCTTCTTCTTCTTTCGCTGTCCTTCTTCTTCCTTTTTTGGTGGAGATTTTGGGTCGCAATTTCAGTGGTGATGGTGGTGGCTGTGGGTGCGATTTGCTGCGATTCGGTGGTCGACGGTGACGATGGCTATGGCAGTGGTCTCTTAGCTGGTCGCGACGCTGCTGTCCTTCTTCTTTCGTTTTTCAATCACGATTTTTGTGATGATTTTGGGTCGTGATTTCAACCCGGCTAAGCAGTAGATTTTCGCAAATTTGGGTCACAGCAGATTTTCGTGGTGATTTTGGCTGTGGTGGTGGTTGTTGTGTGTGCGATCAACTGTGATGTGGTGGTGGCTATGGGTGCGATTTGCTACGATTTGGTTGTTGGCGGCGGTGGTGGCTGTGGGTGCGATCAGCTGTGATTTGGTGGTTGGCGGCAGTGGTTGGTGCAGACGGTGGTGGTGGCTGTGGGTGAGATTTGGTGGTTGGAGGTGGTCGACGGTGATGGCAGTGGTTGGTGCAGGCGGTGGTGGTGGCTGTGGGTGAGATTTGGTGGTTGGAGGTGGTCGGCGGTGATGGCAGTGGTTGGTGCAGGTGGTGAAGGTTGGCGGTTGGGTTGAAAACAATGAAAACGCGTTTTGGAAATTTTGGCTAAGTTATAACTGAAAACACTCAAAACGACATTTTTGTCGTTTTGTGTTTTCTTTATAAATTTTAAAGTCGTTTTCAAAAACGCATTTTCGAAAATAGGAAAGAGAACGCGTTTTCACTGTTTTGGAAAATCGAAAATAAAAAACGGTTTGAAATCAGTAAAGAGAACATGCCCTTAGTATTTGGAAGGTACATTCCATTGCACAGCATAATTAATCACAATAAAAATAAAATAAATAATTATGCATTAAATAATACACAAGGACAAGCATACACATCTATAGGATAAAGCACATGCGACATAATAGGAAGTCTACTTCCTCTTATGCATTTAGTCTATGTAATTCTTGAATTGGTTGGAAGTTTCAACTTTAGCACATTGTTACATTATCCACTATCGAATTTTAATACAATTATATTACTGAAATAATTAAAAAAACCTTTGTAACTTAAATGTTTGTTTAAAGAACTAACTTATAATATGGTTGTTGTTCTAATAGTCAATCTACAATAAATTTGTGTAAGAACTTTATATTTCAATTGCATACTAAACACGTTAATATTAGATTACATTTTATTAAAGATATTGTGTCGACTTGATAAAGTTCTTTCATAGTACGACCCTCAAATATGGGCACAAAAATACCGTCCTTGGTACGGTTCGATAGTCGTCAAGTCAGTTGAATATTGGTACAAGTCATTGACTTCAAATTTATATTGGGTTTTTTTTTTCTTTCTTACAGTCCAACCGTCAATGATTGTTTAGCCTTATTCAAATAATAATAATAATAATAATACATAATGCTTTAGTTCTTGTTTGGTTTCAATTTTTTTTTTTTTAAATTCATTTTTCTCAGATTCATAATTTTTAATTAGATATTTATGGAACCATAATTTTTATCAACTTTTCAGTCATAAATTTCACGTAACTTTTGACAAAATCCACTTAAAAACTTTATTTTTAGGCAAACCAAACAGGGATTTAATTGTGTGATTATTCCCACTACTCATTGTCACCATATTCGTGGCAATGTGTAGCTATAAGATTGGTCAGAAAACCCCAAATATCCATGATGTCCCCAGTTTTCAGTTGCTGCTCTATTTATAGTATTTTAAAGTGCATATTTTTTGCCTTATTCCATCTTGGAGATGAAGTTTATGACAGAGACATTATGGAATGGAAATTATTTGGTTTTAGCATAATTTTGGCTCCTACACTA